GATGATGATGATGATGATGATGATGATGATGATGATGATGATGATGATGATGAAGATGATGATGATGATGATGGTGATGAACCTTTGATGGGGTTCCAGAGGGATTGATACGACCACTCAAAGGTAGGAGTGAGAAACGAAGAGGGAAATGGAGTAGTGTAATAGCACCAATTACTTTGATTCTCCCTTCTCCCGATGTGTTTCGTTTTAACGGAAACTCAAGAATGTTTTCTTTTTCTGTTTATTCACAGGATGAGAGGAACCAGATTCTGACAATCAGCGTTTGGTTAAGACAAGTAAGTGCTATTTGTATTCTGCTGCGAATTCTTGTACTGTACGGTATTGTATGGGTTTAATGCCGCTGTCAACACTTAAATATCATTTCTAAGACATGACCTCAGAGTTCAACGTTCATCTCGGATAGGATTGAGCTAAGTCAACGGAGTGTCTCGAAAACTCTTCAAACAATCCAATTATTTTTTTTAACCTGAATGGGGATTAGAACCAAGGCCATTCTGACCTTAGTCCATCAACATACTTTCAGCTGCAGACCATTGATATGTTAATATCTTTCAAAAGTATGAACACACAACTGTTAGTAAAAATGTTGTAATGAACTTGTAAAATCATAAACAATAGTCATCCTGTGTACTTGTCCATACCGTAACAACAACGAGAAATTGGTCTGGCCAGAGAGAAGCTCTATAAAAGACGCGGAGCAAGTTAAGTGATAATATAATAATAATGATAATAGTAAATAGCATTTGTTTAGCGAATATCCCCACTCGAAAGCAAGCTCTATGCACTTTATACTATATTTTTACCCCAGGAGACCATAGAACACTCAGAAACATTCTCAGCTTCCCGAGACGCATACAGTGCAAGCAGATGGTTAAGCGCTCAAACACTAATAAACTGACAAGATATAGTTTCCCCCCCCCCCCTCTGAAATAGACACCATCATTCCCCTTTTCCTGGGAACGCAATTGGTTTAGCAAGGTGTTAGTATGACGCCCATCTCACTGCTGTGTGGTTCTTTGATTAAGATTCGGGACTTCCTGATCGAACGTCCATCTCCGACAGGAGCCTAAGTAATACCCCGAAACGTTCCAAGTTCAAAAAATGATCAAACGGGTCTTCAAACGAGAGTCACCCACACCTTAGTCCAACATAATACCTATTGGGCTAAAAGTTTACCTCTCCGGGCATCGTTAAAAGTAATTTTGACCCGTTCTCCCAAACCCATGCTCATAAGATTTTTAAAGCGTCTTTTGCACATGACGTCGCGGGGATCCAAAGAGGGTGGAGACCGAGGATACCGGAACTATTTTGGTAGCCCCGGTGGAGACCCTGAACAAGGCCACGTAAATTTCGAAAAGGGGTGGGGGGATGCTAGAGTTTACTTTAACCCATACTTCATTATTATGCTCCGGATAAAGAAATGAAAAATCAAAATATATAACCATAAAGATCTGTGTTTCAACAGCTATAGTGCGTGAGATGGGGAATTACAATATAGGCCAATATAATATTATAGATAATTGCCATATATGCATAAGACAGAATAATAATAATAGATGAGAGAAAGGGAGAGTAGAGATTAGCGACATGAGAGGCGTCTGTTGGACAGGGAGGTACGGGTGGTAGGAAAGAGAAAAAGAAGTACACCGTAGACAAAAGACTACTTACGTACTGCTCCTTTCTCGAGATAATCCTTGACCCTCCTTCTAGTTCTGTTGTGGGCTTTTTTGCTTGGGGTTTTTCTGTGTGGTTTTTTTTATTTTTTTATTTGTTGGTTGTTTTTTTGTGGGGTTTTTTTGGTTTGTTTG